GCCGCCGTCTGCTCCGCGGCTCCGCGGCAGCGGGAGCGGGTTTCGGACGAACGGGGGGCCCAGACCCTCTCGAGGCATGAAAAAATCCTGACGGGAGGCTTGTCGCCCTTTTCGGCCTCTGGGGGCTCTCACAGGGCCACGGGACCGTCAAAAAGCGACTCGGGGCGAGAAACCAGTCCTGGGGAGAGGGTCGAGACGCCTTGGGTTCGACGCCATGAAACAATCATGACGTCGGGGTCTGGGGCGAGCGAGCGAGTCGAGTCGCCAGCACGCAAGGGGAACGAACAATGACACAGGCATAACCACCCAGAGGTCCGCGCGGACTTTTCGGATCGGCGCTGGGGCCCCCCATGGCGGCGCCTCGGAGCGCGCCAGGGAGGGGGCTCCAGCGCCGATCCGAGCAATCCTCCGCGCGCACCTCCGAGTTCTTACGTTTGCGGCACTGCTTGTTCCGCTGCCAGCACAGGCTCGTGCGGCGAGGTGCGCGTACAGTCGGGGCCCTGAAGAAGGAACCCTTTTGGTTGGGGAGGGGCTCCGCGTTCCTCAAGTGTTTCACAGCTTGCCTCAGGTTTTCCTTGTGCTTCCGATGGGAAATCGAAGTTTAACTTATGGAAAAGAGGGGCCTCGTTCCTTATTTAGGGTTCCTTAGGTCAACGCCCCGACTGCAGCCTGCTCCCGGCGGGGCCGGGCGCGTGAGGGCGTGACCCTCGGAGACATCTCCCTGCGGAGCGCGGGCCTCGGACCTCTCGGACCTCGGTCTGCATCTCCGACGAGGGGGAAGTGGACGGGGCAGGGGGGGTACTCCAGATTTCGTCCTAAAAGGGAGGGGGTCTGGACCCTCCAAGACAAGCCATTTCGGACCTCCCCCGTGGGAGAACCCTCCAAAGCATCGTCCCCAGACCCCCCAGGCCCCCCCAGGACCTCGGTCTGCACCTCCGACGAGGGGGGGTGGGTGGTCAGGAGCGAAAGAAGGACGTACACGTACATGACTCCACGCTGGCTTCGAGAGGTCGCATTGCGCGAATGTTCGTATCACGCGGCAGGTCTCGCGAGTCACGGGGCCGTGTTCATGTACATCGCTGGGCGCGTACGTCCTTTGTGGACTCCCTAGATGGGGCAGGGGGGGTACGCTGGAAACCCGTGCCAAGAAGCACCCTGCTTGCCTCCAGGGTGCCCTGGTCTTGTAGAGTGCCCCGACATCGAATTAAATTACATGGTTTTACAACATGCTTGTTCAAACCATCGGTTGTATTCCATATTCCCATCAACTGCGACCAAGCGGGCCTTTCGCGCGCGCATGCCGAAATCATTCGATCGCCCTCGCGCGTGTGCTCGGAGGGGCTCCTGTCAAACAGTACCATGCGGGCCATGCGCCCCCCTCGGCCGCGCGCGCATGTCAACATCCTTCCAAAACCTTCACCACCGACACGTGGACACAATCATCGTCACTGGCGTGATCAGCATCGTCGCCGTCGCTGGGAGCTTCTCGGTCCGTCTTGGACACGTGTGCTGAACTCATACAACTGGTCAAGCTTTCTCAGCGACTTCGGCTTCCCAGGCTGGTTCTCAGGACTTACACAAATGGCCCAGGAGGCGCCCAACCAGCGCCCAAGAGGGCTCCGGGAAAACCCCGGGGCAATGTGAGGCCCTTTCGAAGGAGTGAATTCCAGGAGGCGCCCAAGAGGCGCCCAGAAAAGTCACGCGAGCCGCCCCGAGAGCGCCTAGAAGCGCCTAGAAGCGCCCGGGAGCGCCGAAAGACGCGAGGAATTCCAGAGTTTGGGCGCCTGAAGCAGCACTTGCAATATTTAACGCTGAGAACTCGAAAGGGCTTCAGGACCTTCCATTGAGTACCTGCGGCGCGGTGGCGTATGTAGATGCGGAGGTAATGCTTGGGTGCTACGATTTCGCTCCCCCCGACGGCGTTTTCAAAGGCAGCCCGCATCTGGTTTCGCATACAGGATGGCCTAGCGACTGGACCGCAGGAGTCTGAGTGGTACGATTTCGCTCCCCCCGACGGCTTTTTCAAAAGCGGCCCGCATCTGGTTTCTCATGCAGGATGGCCTGGCGATTGGACCGCTCACGACATTGGTGGGGGTCTCGTCAGACTTCTGCATCGGCGCGCGTGGCGGGATGTGATATTTCAGGGTGTCGTTGTCACTGCTCCTCACAGGCAGAATCGTATGACGTTCTATCTCAGCTTTGGGGGGTACTGTATTACCTACCGACAGTCTAAGTTGGACTCGTGACTGCAACGTGTTGAGTCGACTTGAGTTCGTTCTGACAAGATAACTGCAGTCCGCTGGTGTCCCTGTGGGGGGTCATGGCTAGCGGCATTATCGAAAGTGCCTCAGCGCGACGAGAGCTCACGCAGAGCTGCGCGCATGCAGATGTATCATAGATATTGCTGCGTTCTGCGTGTGGTCGGCGGCCTCTTGGGTCGTCCCAGGGCTATTTTGGGCCTTTTGGAGAGCTCTTGTGCCGCCAGTGGCCCCTCGAGACCGTCTTGGGGCCGTCTTGTGGCCCTCTTGGGGCCTGGGCGTCGTGGAGCCATTTGGGCCAGACGTCCACGTGCAGTGGTCACGCGATGCACTGGGATGGCGGGGATGACGTCGTGGTACGGTAGGTTCGTGCGGCGTTGGCGCGCTGGCGACGCCCGCGAAGGCGTTCAAGGTTGAATTCTGCGACGCGGAAGCGCCGAGGGATACGGTGACGCCACTGGATCCGGCGGATTTCTTCAGCCTTGAACGATCGGGACTTTGATCGATTCAAGGTTGAACGATCTACGCGGTGTCGAAAACCTTCGCGCGACGATGCCATCTTGCTGTAGGCCGAAACTTTCCCAACCACCCGCCAGGAAGCCGGATAGACTTAACGTGGCCAGCTCGGGCGGGAGCCTGATACACATGTGACTTATGTGGCCGCATGTTTTTTTAGTGTTTGGTCTTTGTGAGGCCGTGTAATTATGCTGGTGCTCCGCACACGTGTTCAGCGCGTTGTCTTCGCATGTCCCGCACGGGAACCCAGCTACGTCTGGCGGCGCGCTCAAGGGGGTATCGTGAGGGGAGGCGCCTTCTGCGGGGAATTTCTAAGAAGGCATATATCCTAGGTCCACCCAGGCTTCTAAGAAGCCTTCTTAGAAGCCTCTGGGCGATTCTAGGAAGGCTCTTTCGTTCGAAGAAGCCCCCCGCCTTCTCACCACGTGTGTTTCAGTTTCCCAGTGAGCTCTCGAAGGACTTCCAGACCCCTGGAGGTCCCAATTCCTGGAGGTCTCAACCCCCTCCCTGGGGCTGGGGTGATCCCCATCTCCCCCCGTGAGCTCTTAAGAGCTGCTGCTCCCATCCTCGTCCTCCCTCCTCCTCCTCCTCCCCTCCTCCTCCTTCTCCTTCTCCTCCTCCTCCTCCCGCTCAGGCGGCGCACGGCTTTTCACCCATCTCCGTGTGCGACTGTTTCAGTATGACCTCTGGAGGAGGAGGAGGAGGAGGAGGAGGAGGAGGAGAAGGAGGAGGCGGAGGGAGGAGGCGCACTGCGCATCTCTCCCCTCCGCCCCCGGCGCCCTCGGAGCTCGGAGGAGGTAAAGGCACCCATGTTGCTATATACCTTTCCCGAGCTTTCCCCTTTTTGGGCCTCCTGGGAGGTCCTCGTCGCCACCGCTGGATGCGCCTCGAGATCCTGGTCAGACCGCAACCCCGGGAGAGGTCCAGGGAGTAGCGGTATCGTCGTCGTCGTCGTCGTCGTCGTCGTTTTCATCGTCGTCGTCGTTTTAATCGTCGTCGTCGTCGTCGTCGTCGTTTTTTTGGTATCCCCACTGGCAGCAGGCTCCCGGGCGCACGGCCGCGAGGGCAGCCTCGTCGGCGAGGCGGCGTGGATGCGGCAGCGGGGGCCCCAGAGCTGGCTCCTGCTCCGGGCGTGCGCCCGCCCCTTGTCGGGCCCGCATGGGGAGGGAGCAGTGGCGAAGCGTCCTGGTTCGCCTACAGTCGCAGGCCTAGAGGTTGACATTAACACCAATATCGGCGGTGTGCCTCCATCGAGGGAAGAAGATCCCGATCTCGGTGATGGTGGTAATATTCTGGCTTCCAAGGTGGCCAAAATATTACCACCAACGCCGAAATCTAGGATCATCTTCCCCTGTGGAGGCAACCCCCTGTGTTGGTGTTGGTGCCCATTTCCAGGCCTCCGATACAGGGCCACCAAAGAATGTTCTGAGAACCTTGTCTTTGTTATTCGAACAGTTCTGGATTCTGAGAACATGTCGGGACGCCGGGACGGTCGGTCCCTGCTCAAGAGGGGGGAGTTGCTCCAGCTCGTCCGCAGATGGGGTCCGAGCAGACGGAGCCAGAGCACCGGGCCACATTGCCGGTGCATCGCAGATGCGGGGCCTGCTTCTCTTCACGCCGGCGGCGCCGTGCCATCGCCGCCGATGCATCGCCGATGCATCGGGCGGTGCATCGGCGATGTGGCGCGATCCTCCGACCCCGCTTGCTCTGACCCCATCTGGGGTTAAGTCGGGCATGTCCCTCTACAGGGGGGATCTACAAAAGTAGTCCAACAATGGTCTGGGAACGATTTTAGTTGCATTTTTCGGTTGGAGCATTGCTTCGAGTATTTTTCAGAGTTTGTTTTAATTGTTACTGGTGTTCTTTGGAGTATGGGAACGATGTTTGGAGCATTTGTTTGAATGCTTTTCAGTTTTCCTTCGAAATCCGCCTGTATCAGGAGTGAAACAAATCACACAGACACACTTAATCGTCGATCCCCCAGAAAATATGGGAAAATATGGGAAGTGGTGGGGAAGACAAAAACCCAGAAAATATGGGAAAATATGGGGAATCTTTTTATTTGGGTGTATTTATTTGTGTGTCCCAGGGCCCCTTCACTGTAGGAGGACATGCTCGACCTGACTCTGGGGCCGGGCGGGCCCAGTGCCAGCACGAGTCGCACCAGAGCGTCCTGGCTGCGCGCTCCGATCGCCCCGGGGCGCTCCCGGGCGGCTGCGGCGCCGG